TCCAGCGAAACGCCGCATCTTGCAAAAGGAAATGGAAGTGTTACATTTCCTTGATGTATTGAGTTGTAACTTTGGTGGTAGCGAGCCAGTAATAATACTGAACACACACAGCTTCTGTAAAACCTGCTTGTAAATATTTAATTAAGCCTCACAACTCTGGGAAGTGGATAAATTGTCTCTTTATTTTACAAAAGGGGACACTGGGGTAAAGAACATCCTGTCTTGCTTTCACAGAGAAATAGCCTCAAGGCCATCACCACTGGTCAACAAGCAATTTAACTGCACCAGTAACACTTTGCCTATCCTACAAAAGTGCACTGCATCCGCAGACACCCTAAATGAGTCATACTAACTGCCATGATGTTAATCAGGGTTTGATCCTCAATAAAGATAATGACATTTTAACATCTTGCTGGTTAGTCATAATGCACTACAAGGTGCATTAGTAACATATTTGATATAACATTTCACAGAGGTTATTTAAGACTGTTCTCATGACTCAGGTAAAAGAGGCTAATCAAAATAATGGTCCTGCTTTCTATGCAGAAGAGAGGCAATCATGGTTTTAAACTTGCTTTATCAGGAATAGCGTTCAAAATCTAATATTGTCTCAAGTGTTATTTGTCTGCCAAGAGTAGATGCCCATTGCTTTACATGAACTCGTGGGTATATTGAATCATGGAATATAATCTTGGGTAAACTGATTACTCTAAAGTTAACTGAAACCAGTTGATGCAATGTTAAAGAAAACAGTCCCTGATGCCCACGGCTAAAGTCTATTTAACATCCCACCTTAGTTCATCAAGGTCCTGGCCTACATGCAACAGGATCAAATGGAGGAGCAGAAGTGATCTAAAAAAATCATCAAATTAAACCATCACCTCTGACACAGGAATAAGTATACCTCCATCATACTTGACAGATTTTTATGCGATCTTTCTTCGGAGGTTTTTCAGAACAGATTCCACAACAACCCCAGGGTTTGGGTGTCACCACCACAATATTTAGGAAGGTTTTCCTGAGCCATATGTCCTGCAAACCAGTTTCTTCTTGCTCTTCCTGCCACAGCTCCACAAAATAATTGAGACTGATCCTATTATAACAACCTGTTGCATATGGGAAGATTTGTGTCCTCACACTTAGCCTTCTCTTCTTTGGATAAAACTGAGAATGCCTGGAACTATTCGGCATTCAGGAGGTCACAGAAAATCGTGGATTTTCGTGTTTTTTAAATAGAGATTTTTTCCTGCGGAAGACTACAATCCCTGGTTATCAGCTACAATATCCAGTAGCAACTCCGCATTTTGTAATTTTATATTTGATTTTCTCTTCCTAAGCGCAGCATTTTGCGTGCGTCTTGACTAAACTTCATCATGCTGATTTTAGACCATCTCTCCAATTTGTCATTATCATTTTGAATTCTGAACCCAACATCCAAAGTGCTTGCAAACTCTCCTCCTTGCCTAGCCGGATGTCCTCTGCAAATTTTAAGAGTCCTCTCTTCTCATCATCCAAGCTGTTAAGGACAATATTGAATAGATCTGCCCCACTGACAGATCCCTACATGACCCCCGCATGAGATGCCCCCCAAGCATGAAAGGGAACCTTCGATGACTGCTCTATGATTTTTGAATGAGTTGCACATCCAGTTTACAGTGATTACATCTACAGCATTTTTCCTTACCTTTCTTATGAGAACATCATATGGGACAGTGTCAAAAGCTGAACATCATATGGGATAGTGTCAAAAGCCTTAAAGAAATCAAAATAATCTCCCTTCTACTGCTTCCCACCCCCCACCCCTTTATCCATAAGGCTCATTACCTTCCAAGAGAAGGAAATTATATTAGTTTGATCTTAATACTTTTGATAAACTCACACTGCCTGTTTTTAAGAGTCAATTATCATCTCGGTCAGTGATGCTCAGCCAGAGTGCTGTGGCACCCTGGGGTACCTTGAGATCCTCTCCGGGGTGCTGGAGGGTGCCAGGCAATGTTATCACTCTTAGGTGTGCAACATGATTCACGAGATAACCCCAGAGATTTCAACTAGGAAGCCAAAGCGTTAAAAAACCATTCTGCCCAACTGTGGTCTTTCCAAGCTCTTTGCAACAGAAGAGTTGCTCTGTTATTTTTCTGAAGTCAAAAAATGAGTCAAGACTAGAAGATGTCATTTTCCAAGGGGTGCCTTGAGCCGAAAAAGGCTGAGAACCACTAGTCTAAGTACTTATGAACCAATGTGTTGCAGAATCTTTCCAGGCATCAAAGTTAGGCTGGCTGGTCCATAAAAGTCACCACGTCCTCTTTATTTTTTCCACTCCTTTGAAGATTAGTACTAGGTTTGCCCTTCTCTAGGCATCTAGGGCCTCCCCTGTCTTCTCAGTTCTCAAAAGACAACCACTTCTAGTTCAGAGATTACTTCAGCTTGTTCCACAAGCCCTCTATGAGGAAATCGTCAGGCCCTGAAAATTTGGACACATCTAAATAGTTTTTTTCTTTATACCGCCTGCTCTCCTGATAAATTCAAGTATCTGGTCATAATTATTTTTTCTTAAAAAGACTGACGCACAGAACATATTGAAGACTTCAGCTTTCTCAGCATCATCTGCTCTTTGTTCTCCTTCCCTGATTAGTAACCTCTTCAAATTTCCTCTTCTTACCTCCACTATATTTATACAATTGGTTTTTCTGCTCCCTTTTATGTCCCTCGTTAATTGAAACTCATTTGGACCATCAGCCTTTCTGATTTTACCCCTACATGCATGCGCTATTCATTTACAAGCTTGCTAGGTTGTATGCCCTTGTTTCTATTTTTTGTCGGATTCCCTTTTGATTTTCAGGTCATTGAAGAGCTCCTGATGCAGCTATCTTAGTCTCTTAATATGCTTCCTATGCATCAAGATAATTCATCCTTGTACATTTAAAGTGCAGGCTCCTTTAATAACAGCCAAGTCGCCTGCATTTCTTTATCCTTGAGATCATCTTCCCAAGAGACCCTACCTACCAGTTCCTTCAGTTTGCTGAAGTCTGCTTTTCTGAAGTTCATTATCCTTATTTTCCTGCCCCCGCGCACTCTTTTTTCCCTGAATAGTGAACTCTATCATTTAACAATCACTTTTCACCCAAATTACCCTCTACCTTAGAGTCTCAAATCAATTCCTCGCTGTTAGACGGAACCAGCTGTAAGGCAGCCGCTCCCCTTGCAGCGTCCATGTAATTCCTCAGTGTAAACAGCCCTGTGTGTCGGCAAGAGGAAGGTGGGTTTGTACTAACAGAGGATTTTTTTTTTTTTTTTTTAATTAAGCAGTTTTCAGATGTTTGGTTTATTGCATTTGTGCATAAAAAGGTCACCCAATTACAGAAAGTTCACCCACTACCTGCCAGCATGCATGCACACACAATCAATTTTTCCATTTGATGTGCTCCTTTACATCCTTCTTAACCATCAGTGACTTCTGGTCACAAACCTCTTCAGGGGAAAAGTTTCAAGTCATTTCAGTAATTGATCTGAATGCATTCCTTTGTCACAGCAGCCTTCCTGATGGCAAGCCTGCATTGATGATGTTATTAGCAACAGTATACACCTGGATTATCAAGGAAAGCAAGGAAGACTGCTGGCTTCTTACTACAGAGGAGGATCAAACACTGTCGAGTTCTGCAATTATGGCAGGAAAAATATGTTCCAGACTCGGTTCAAACCACCTGAAACGCTAACTGGCCATTATCAATTTGGACTCCGCGAGCAATGTTCATTGAATCTGTTCAACATCTCAGCAGCATCAATTGTACATGAAAGACCACTGATGACTAAACGCAAGCTAGCCCGTCATCAGAGACTGCCACGAGAACTCAGAATCACTGATCAAAAACATGGGTGGTATATTGTTTTCAGGGTCTTTTCCCTTAAGAACTGTGACTGGATTTAGTGCTGGAGATGCAAGAGGCTAATAAAATGTTGGCTTGAGAAAAAGCCTAAGATGGGCAGTTTTTCCACACAAATCTAAATTCACCTAAACTCTAAGAGGCACCCCTGCTGGCTATCCCAACCCTGAACCCCTCCTTAGCAGAGTTTATACTAAATTGTGTGATGGTTTTATCAAGTTCCCAAACACTTTTTTTCCCCTGTGGCAAACAAAAACTTAAATTCTGAAGTCTGCAGGGCTGAAAAAACTAAATGCAATCTAGGAAAATATGAAAGCACTGCAGTGAAGACTAGTTGTAGCGTCCTTTAGAGCCACTGTCATGTATCAGGGTCCATAAACACCGAATAACAATTCCTCAAGGGGAATCTGGCATAACTGCAAGACATTCAGACAAAAGGGTTTGTTCAAATCTTGCAGCAATAAGGTATTTTCTGAATAATTGTATCCAGAATCATTATTCAAATACCTGAAAATTTACAATAGGCACATCAAAAGACACTGACCCAGCTGAAGAGCAATAATGGCCTGTATGTTAACACAACGCCTTTCATCCAAGATTTTTAGAGCATGTTACTAATTGGACAAAATGATAACTCATGTACCCTACATCCATATTTTCCCACCCTCCACAACTACAGAGAAAGAGACAACTTTATCTCATTCAGGAAACACTTTTTTTAAACCCGCAATTCTATACATCTATCAGATTATGTTTTATGCTTTTAAAAATTAGTATTTAATCTTCAAGCCAGTCATGTCAACATTATTCCCCCTTTACAAGTCAGGACAGTAAGGAAGAGCCGTTTAGTAACTTGTCCTAAAATCACAGAACAAGGCAGTTGCATTAACAGGATTAGAAGAACTATAACTATTTACAAGGAGGGAAGTTTTAGTAATGGCTCAAAAGAGAATTGGACAAATGGTCCGGGTCCATCTGCCTCTCTTGCATGTTATTGCAAAGATGATAACAAAGATCCATGTTGAAACACTTTGAACTTGGATGTGATAAATCAACTTCATGTTAAGTATCGTGACTAGTCAGCAACCGTTTAATTTTTTTTATGATTGCTCAATATACCTGGCAGTGGGTTGTGCGTCACATCTTCATACTGCGTCCCAGCCTCTTCTGTCAGCGTCAACGAGCCCTCCTCTAAGGTCGGGAACTCGGTCAGGTTGTTTTCACCTGTGGTCAAGTCCACTCTCGTGCCCAATGCTGCCGTGAGATGGCTGGCATCCGCTTCTACTGGGAGCTGATACCACGGTTCCATTCCCTAAAACAATGGAGACAACAAAAAAAGAAGATAAATCTCCATTTTTTTTTTTTTTAACTAGTCTACTTGATTTTTCACAAGCAGAAGTCAGACGACTTAACCCCAAACAACGCCCAAAACCCCAAACAACACCCCCCCTCCCAAAAACGCATTTACTTGAATATATAACAACACCAAATATAAAATGACTCCCCCATGGGTGACTGGTGCCTCCCAAGTCTTGGGGGGCACCACTTCCAGGTTTTGCGGCTGGCGCTTCCAGGGGGGGCACAGCCAATCTCAGGGGGTGCACATGTACCCCCTACACATAGCCAATGGACTCCCCAATAATTAGATTCCATATGTGAAAAAATGTATATATGTTATAATTTTCCAGGTATAGAAACTAATTATTGGAGGTTTGCCTCAATTTCTTCTCCTGGGAAAATAAATCTGGGGGATCAAGTAGCCCCCTTGCCCTCTGCCTCCCACCCCCAACTTCTTCTCCCTGCAGCCCACTCTCCCCTCCTTACTGTCAGACCCTGCCCTCCTTGAACATATGGAAGTGAGGGGCAAATCTGAAAAAAATGACCTTCAAATATACCTGTACATAATTTGCCTATATGCAAATTACTACAGGTATCCATTGACTTCTTTCATCCAGAACTGATGCATTTTGCTTTTGAAACAGCGACAAGTTTTAGCACGGGTACTCCACAGACACACTTAAGTAGGACTTCTGTATCTACTTATCTATAGTAAAAACTATGCATGACATTACAGTCCAAAGACAAAAGGCTTGTGATCTTCCACATAATTCATTGGGTTGGGCCCTAACAGAGGCAACAGCATTTCAAGCCACAGTGAGCTCCAGAGCTGATGAAGCTAGGCATGAGCACTTTTCTCACAACCTGAACAAGAGGGGACACGACAGAAGACTTCAAATACTTGAAGAGCTCCCATAAACAAGAGGGAAAGCGCCTGTTCTCTCTTGCTGCAGAAAGGAGGACATGGGCCAATGACTTGAAGTTGCAGCAAAGTCAGTTTAATTTGGATTTCCGAAAAAACGTCTTCACTGTTAGAGGAGGGAGGCAGTGGAATAGATGCCTAAGGAAGGTGTGGGCTCTCCATCACTAGAGGTGTTCAAGAAGAGGTTGACCAGCCAGTGGTCAGGGATGATCTAGGTGTAACTATGCCTATGTTCTACCATGGGTATTTCCCATGCTTCTGGGCTTTGCTGGTTGCCCCTGTCCCCCTTCTCCCCGCTTTTCTGTTATGTGTCAGGATGTTTTTAAGGCTTCCTCAGAGGCATTGGGTGCCGTCTACAACCAAGGCCGGGGACTCTACTGGGCTGCGCCAGTGCTCCTGCTGGGACCAAAGCCAGAGGTTCCTGGCTAGAGGGTTTTGCCCCTCTGCGCAGGGTCAGACTGATTGCCAAATTTGGGGTCAAGAAGGAATTTTACCCCATGATCAGATTGGTATGGATTATGAGGGTTTTTGCCTTTCTCTATAGCAGGGAGCATGGCCCTTTACCCAGGACCTCTTGAGCATATAATGACATTTTATAGAAGCAGAACAATGATCATGGTTCCCCTGCTTTACCTGTGGCAGGGGTTGAAAACAGTCTTGCGTATAAATTAGATTATGGTTTGTATGGGGTGGTTTGGATAGGGATGATCCTGCCTCAGGCAGGGGTTGGACTAGAAGTGACCTCTGGAGGTCCCTTTGAGCCCTACTTCTCTAGGACTCAGCACTGCTCAGTATGTGTGTGTACTCCAGATACTCCTACCCGCCCCCCACAAAGGATCCATGTGCCGATTAGCCCCTCCACTCACAACTGAAACCAGGTGTTCTTGTCATCAGTCCTGGGATCCTCCAAACTGTATACACAGTTGAAGGGCAGGGCAACCTGGCCGGGCTCCACCTCATGGAGCTAATCATGTGTGTCAGGCTGAGAGTGGAGGTGACGGAAGGATGCTGGGTGAACTGTCTGGGGGCCCATTTGATAATGTTTGCTAGACACTTATTTCTGGTGAAGAAACAGGAATGATTGGGGAAAAAAAGAGCAGCTCAGTTGTGGAAGTGAAGAGGAAATCAAAATGTATTCAATGTAGTGGCTCACCATGACTCAACAAGAGGCAGCATTGAGGAGGACCGCACACAATGGGCAGTAGCCTATATCTTTTTCAGATTGGCTGCGCTAACCTATCCTAGTATGGGAGTGGACAGTGATAGCTCAGAAGACAACAAGACAACCGGACCTGGAGCCAGCAACGATGACAGCAGCAGTGATAGCAGAAGCAACAGTGACAGCAACAACAACAGCGAATAAACAGAGTATAAACCCCAAAATTGGGGTTAGGACTAAAAGACACCATAATTGAGCTAGGGAAAGGACTGTGGGCAGGTGTGCAGGAGCACAAGTGCACTTACTGTAACAGGTTCAGGGGCTTTGAATGTGGGTTAAGGTGTGTGAAGAAAAGTTCTTCCTAGATGATGAATGGATAGAGACAGACAGAGAGAGAGCTAGAAATATATATATATTTTTAAAAGTTGGGGGGTATCTGAATTCCAAGACCTCCAGGCTTAGGCCTGCACGTAGGATGCCTGCCAGTGGATTTGGGAGTATATGAAGCCCCAGGGTGAGAGCCTGGGATGGAGGATGCTCGCCGGCTATAGTGCCATATATGGTGTTTAGAATGATTAAGTTCTGCCTGCTCAATCGATATGGTTTTTTGAACAACTGAGTTCTGCTCAATCAATATGATTTGGAAATGATATGGCTGATTTGACCTGAAACACGAAAAAAGTGGGCCCAATATGGGCCGCGTGTTTAATAATCATGCTTAGAGTTGGCTGCATTTAATCAACTTCATAGCTGGTTTCCATTACTGCTCACATGCTGCTTTTGGCAGCAGTTTAATGATAAACAATGTATTTAATGAGGTTTCCTTGTATGTAAGTATTAGACAAGGGTCTTTTTCGCCCGTGTTGATTGTGGGGGGGTGGGAGGGACCTCATTTTGTATTTGAGTAAATATAGTAGTAATCATCAAAATCCACACTTTCTGGTACTCTCAATAACATTATAAAAGGATATGCCCCTTCACCACTCACCATTGGTCAAATCCCTTGTGGGATGATTGTTTAAAAGAAAGAATGACTTTTTGAGATATCAGATTCTTTGGAAGGCCTCCAAACCCCAGAACCAAGGATTATTTTACCATTCAAGTGGGGTAAAAGGTGGCATCAGAAGTCTGATGAAAAGTCAGAAACTTCATGCAATTAAAAAAAAAATAACACTACAGTATATAATAAACCTAATGGAAGATCTCATTCACGATACTAGAACAGAGGGTACCATAAACTGCAGGAGCAGAAAGCCTTCAAGACCTTACTGCTAGGTCCACTGGTTAAAAGAATGCATAGACAGGGGTCAGCAATGTTTTTGGATAGAGTGCCAAAAAACCCACAAACTCAGCTTGTCAGAAGTTGGGGTGCCAGGGGCGGATGACAGGGGAGCTGCGAGAGGCCCAATCCTTGTTGTTGCAGTACAGCCCTGGCCTCTTCCCTGCTGTCCACCCCAAGGTGCACGTACCAAGCAAAATGCGTTCGCGTGCCACACTCTGGCACCCGTGCCAGGGGTTGCCTACCCTTGGCATAAGAGGTAAATGCAGAGAGCCGAGGGGAAATATAAAAAGGGTGTAAAAGAAATCTGGAGAGACAAGGAAGAGGAACAAGCTTAAAACTCTATACCTGGATATGCAGAAGGTAGTCTCCAAGGTCCCACCCTGACCTAACTCATTTAGAAGATGTTGGATTTCGTAGGCAACAGCCTAATTTGCTATGAATGGACTTGCAGAACGCAGGGGTAAGAAACAGAAAGGAGTCAAGTAATTTAAATACCAAGGATAGGAAATGGGAGGAAAGGAGGCAGAGCTGAGAGTGGAAAAAGTGGGTTGAAGAGATCAAAAGCGAGAAACAGCAGTTAACCCGCTGAAGGACACTGGGGTTATAAAAGCTAGTCCTGGTACTGGGATAAGAATCTATAGTTAACACAGCCCGGTCTGTGGATGATTTTCTGTTGCACAATTTTGTGTTCATCTTAGTTTGCAGAAGTTTTGTTGCTCCAGAACAGCGACTCGAAGGTCAGTGATGAATGTCCAGGGACGTTCAAGTGTTCTCCCACAGGCTTTTGTGCCTTTCTGGAACTGAAGCCATTCTTGCACATGTGGATGGGAAAGCCTCAGGCTCTATGCCTCGCCTGCGTCTCTGCATCTCAGTGACGTGCACCTCCTACAGACAAAGAGGTACCAAAATACCTTCTACAGACAAGAAGAGTCTGGTACTCTTGCTCTGGAAGGTCTCATGGGATCTGCCTGAACAACGGGTCTATCTCTAGCAAAGCTAGCACGCCAAGCTAATATTCAGCAATTTGTTTAACAACACAGAATATTGTATAAATCACATTCTTCCCAAAATGGATTGAAAGCATGGTTTCAAAGGAATCCAGTTAATGCCGCAAAATGTTTCCTAGGCAAAAATTCTACCATTTGAAAAATATCAAAAGTCGAAAAAAAGTGCAAAATGAATAGGGAAAGTATCCCGGCATTTTCCCACCACCACGTAATCCTTCATCGTTTATTATCAGTCCACCAATCACACCTCACTCACCCACGCTGGGCACAGCCTCCAAGCAAAAGTTTGAAAAGAAACACAAGGGTCAAAACAACAAACCGCTATGAGATGATATAAACTTTTAGGTCTTTTTCAAGGGATCGGTTTCCAATATAATCTAATCATTTGTTATCGGAGCCTTGCATATAGCTTTGTATATTTTATGACAAGACATCGTGTAACTGCAGTGTAAATCAGCTGGAGCAGAACGGATAAAAAGATTTTATGGAGGTGATAAACTGCCTGCATTTCTCACCGAGATGGGCAGCGTGACTTGATGGGGTGAGAGCAAGTGAAGGAGCGAATGGTCCGAGTGAAGTGGCTGAACACCCTCACCTTCACTTCCAGACTTTAAAAACTTCCTGAGTTTCTCTGAAAATTGAAAAGAGCTATTCTATGAGAATTACCATATTTTCTGAGCGTCAACTAACTAGTTTCCAATGACAAACACTGTCATAGGACCATCGACGTGAAAGAGCCCTTCTGGTCGCAGACCCCAGTCTCATGCCATCACACTTCCAAACTTAACTATTCACTTAACTGCCTTCCAACAAACACAACAGAGTCCGGTCCTTTCTTTACTACGTGACACTACAGGGCATCTGGGGACAGCAGACTCACAAATCAACTCTGACTTGCGAGAAAGCAGGGGCTGCAAATCAGCAAATCCCAAGCAGCAAACTGGGCCCTTCCCATCATGCATCTAAGCTTAATTTAAGGAATCCCATTTAAATAACCTTAACAAAGGCCTGAAATTGCAGCAAGGGAGGTTTTGGTTAGATATTATGAAAAACTCTCTCACACAGAGGGTGGTGAAGCACTGGAACAGGCTGCCCAGAGAGGTGGTGCAGTCTCCATCCTTGGAAGACCCGGATAGACAAAACCTTGGCTGGGATGATGTAGTTGGGGCTGGTCCTGCTTGGAGCAGGTCCCTTCAACCCTCATTTTCTATGATACTAAGTGTAAAAAACCACCACAAAGGAAATCTAATGGACTTCGTAGGTGAGGAATTACCCAGGGATCCTACAATTGCAAAAGACCTGCCTCCGAGACAAACCAAAGTGAACCCCTCAACAATGAGCAAAAGGAACTTCAAGGACGTCGAATGCCTTAGTATGGCAGGGTAAATGGGCCAACTGGCACTGTTTAGTATGGTGCCAACAAGCTGGCGAGTGAACACAGCCCTTCATACCTGGGGATTTGGCAGGTCCAGTGTTTTTCAACTCGCCTTCAAAATTCATCTCATTCCGAATTCCTCTGGTTAATTATGGGAAATTTTTAAATCCTTTTGTTTCACCTTTAAACATAATACAACACCTTCTATTTTAAGTATGTGACAGTTCTAGCAGTGTATTAAAAGAATTTCCAGGGGGATTATTGGGGAAGTAATTACACAGATGTATTTTAATTATGGAAAGGGCACAGAACAGCTTTCAGTGCAGAGAATTAAGAGTATTAAAGCCATTTATGATGTACCAAGCAGCACTACTACCATTAACACAAATTCATATAATTTATAACTGCAGAAATATTAATATAAATGAAGAAATAATGCCTCACTGTATTGCATTTAATCTAAAACTTGCACACAGTCAGTAGAAAGAAAATAGTCTCCAGATTCAGGGTTATTTCTACCTTTTGAGATGCAAATGATGTGTCCAGAGGCTGTTTTCTTGAGCTAGAATTTGCGTGCAAGAAGTACAGCCCCCAACCCTAATTCTCGCAGGCTTTAAGAAGCGTTCTTTTATAACTGATTCAACAATTTCCTCAAAGAACTGTAAACTTAGGATGTAATATTTATGGCAGTAAATATTTGGCTCTGAACCCTGCAAGTAAGGCTTCAATGAGCACAGAGTGAGCTGAAGGCAGTAATTCAAAACTGCAATGTAATAAACTTTACTGGACCAAGCAATAAACGTAATAGAGCTTAGGTTAGAACAGGAACTGTTCGTAAGCAAATCTGATTATTGGTGCTAGTCTGACAAGTCTGTTGCCGCAGATCATATCAATGCGTAAAGAATTCAAAGGGAGGGTCCTGAGTTTCCAGATGAAAAAAAAAAAAACCAAAAAAGAAGTGTAAAGATAAAGACATGCCACTGTGGGTCCTCCTTGTGCTGCCAGGCCATATCACAGCCCATCTCTGAGAACAAAAGACACAACATCATTCAGTGAGTCTCCCCCGACAGCTCCTCTTTGATCGCTGTCAGTCAGCTGGCTCTTAATCCATTTAACATGCGATAACTCAATATCATAGAGCACCAGCTTGAGAGATCAGAACGTCCTGCAGAGCAAAGTCAGTGCCTTACAAGCATCAGTCACATCTGTGCACTTACCTTTATCAAGAACACTTGTCATCTCATCAAAGAATTAGGTCTTCTTGACTAAACCTGATGTATTCACCAATAATGCCAAGTTGGCTGGCATTACTTATATTTCCAGCCATTCATTTTATCCCTAGCCTTTCATTTGTATTAATTGAATCCCATCTCAGCTTTGCCACTACTTTGCCCAGGGTTTGTGTCAGGCTACAAATTATTCCAGTCATCATGTGGGCGCTTTTACTAAATGTGACACAACCCTCAAGAATCCAAGATTTATAAAACCAGGATATCAGGAAACCCTAAGGTCACTCGGCCCACTCTTTTAGAACTCTTGAGCATAAGTTATCTGACCTGATTGCTTAAAAAAAAGCTTTAAGCCTGGATCCCACTTCCAGATGACAGCAATCCAGCTTTCTCCTCTGTCCTATGGGACATCTTTGTGGCTAGTTTGCCATTTTATGGCATAATAAATTGTTTGACTGTCTGGCATGTTACTGTTAATTATATAATAAATGTAACATCGGGGGGGGGCTGTACTTTTGTGCTAGGTAGCTCACACTGCTTTGAAAATGAAGTCTGCTATCTCACATTTAGGGTGGAAACAGGCCATTCACCTGATGCCTCATTGGTGCCACCATAAAATTTTTTATGGTGGCACAAATGCTGAGCAAATAGATGTCCTTTGTTGCACCACATGAAAGAAAAATCATTGGTGTAACAAAAGGTGGTAACAGACTCTGCCACTTTATGGCAGCAAACAGTATTACCTCTGTGGTGTTTTCCCTGCTCAGCCAGACCTGCAGGTCTGCTTGGGCAAGGAAAACCCTGCTCTCCCCCACCCAGCCTAACCCCCAGTTAGACCCTGCTGTGGGATTTCCATCTGCATGTCTGCCAGGATGGAGGGGAGCAATCCCTTACAGAGAGGAATCCCGGCAAACATGGAGAAAGGGACTCCTGTTCAAGACCCCCTCTCCAGACATTTAGATGCATACAGGGAAATCTGCAGGGGATTCACCTGCTCCCCAACATGGGGGAGGACATCTGCCAGTGTGGATTTTCCCTGGCTTGCAGATGCAGCCCAACTGCGGACATCTACCAACGTCCCTGGAGCACGATCAGCTGTGCCACGGTACGTCGAAGCACAGCTGATCACCCTTCATTGAAGATGTCTGCTGCTAGCCTTAGTGCACATGCAGAGTGACGAGGCAGGGAGTCAGCGGGCACGTCTACACGTTCATTAATGCACTGTAGTTACTGCGCATTAAATTTTGGATAACCAAGTACTTAATCAATGCACTGTAACCTGCACTACTGCGCAGTCGCACCAGTGCATGGGTTTTTAGTGATGCTTACAGCGCAGTAGCCTATTAGCATGGGTTTTGCCCGGCATGCTACTGCGCAGTATTAGGCTACTGTGCAGTTAGCATCATGTGTAAACGTGCCCAGCGCGGTATAGCTAATATGTGGTAAATTCACAACCTAGCTACTGTGCTGTAACGTCCCACAAGCAGACAAGCCTGTTGTTCCGAGTTGATATGCCCATACCTCCCCCCCTTGAAAGCCATTTCTTCCCAGGGTGCACGCATACTGGGCTAGAGCTGCTTGGCCATCTAGAGATCTGTGATGTCACCATCCTACCCAGCTCTCCAGCTTTTCACAGAATTGGCAGGGGAAGACAAAGCAGATGTCTCTGGGTGAGGATCAGATCAGTGGTATGAATTACAAATAATGTCACTTAACAGTTTCAATTTGTCAATGGAGGCCCTGAATATTATGCAAGTGGTTTGGATACAAATGCTTCTGTAATTCGTATATTATATTAAGAAGCATAATCAATAGGAAGTGTACCACTTTCAGCTACCTTGTATGCCAAGTTTTCTTTCCAAGTCTCAATACCCACTTTGCTAAAAAATAGTTGGCTATTTCAGTGTTGTACATTTTAAAATCCTCATGGAAGATTCAAGAGTTGTTATTCCGGACTCAAAGGAACCGACAGAAAAAGTATTTCATCTCTTTGTACCAGGAAGCAGAAACGGAATAAGGAGAATTGGAGAGTCCAGTCCAGAATACTGCTATGATTTTGCTAATATTTTATATGAAATAAACACCCTGTGCTGTTCAAAAAAATAGCCTCCGATCTCTCAGTCGCAGTGCCCAGTAATCACCTGACTTCTGAAACTCCAAAGCCAATTTTGGGTCTCTACTCTGCAAATGCATACGGTACGTAATTTTATACAATAAGATTAGCTACAATAGGGCCAGTCTCAGTGTGCAAAAATAAGCAAATGCCCGAGTTCTTGTAGACTGAACTTTAGGGCTTGGGGTTGGGTCCCCAACAAATATCAATTGCATTACATATTTCCAGCTTAAATGCACAGGATTTCAGACAAGGAAACACTCTCTCTCAAGACTACCTGGAGAAACAAAAACCTACCGAAAATGTAGTAGAAATACCTGATTGATGGCAGATCGCTGTCGGATCGCTTCTCCCAACGAGATCCCACTGGCAATTGAAATCTGAGTCCCGCTGCTGCTCTGACTTAGCAGTTCTTCCTGCCAACTCGAGTGTGGTGGGGTGGTAGCAATAGACTAAAATTGTGTTAAAGAGGGAAGTAAAAATTGATTTTCAGGATATATCACTGTGCAGACTGGCTTAAGTTGTAATGTATCGTGAAATACCAGTAAAAGTCATCAGTCACAGACCCAAATTAAGGACACAAGAGTCAAATTCTGTAACTGGAGGCACCAAGGGGGGGGAGGAAATTCACTTGTGGTTTTACATAGGAACACAAAAGGAAATGTCATGTTTGGTGCATTAACTGATCATCTAATGGCAATTATTCCCCCCGTGCATATACTCTCCTAAGGCGCATCACAAGGGGTGATGTGGAATCACCTTTCTTAGCAGCGTGAAGCAATGGCCTCTGCCAGAGGCAGAACAGACTCCCGCAATCAGCTGCCTGGTCAGGCCTAGCAAATGCTGCGTGAATGTTAATGGCTTTTCCCTGGATTGATACCAACGCTGTAAAGTCAAATTAAAAAATGTAAAGAGGATCTATGTAAACACCATAAAGTGATTACAGATACATTTAAATATATCATTTCAGGACCGTCTGGCAAATATTTATAGTGTTACTTGAAAAGGAATTGGACTGGTGCCTGCAAGAACAGCTGTCAAATGCTTCTGCCATGTGGCGCCAGAAACAGCTATTCTGTGTTTGGAGTGACCTTTCTTTCCTCCAATACCCCAAGCAGAAAGGAGGAACCTGTGCATTTTGCTGTGCTCTCAGGGAAGGCTGCAGCCTGCCTCAGACAGGTGAGGCAGCCAGTCCCGACCGCACAAGCATGCGAGTGTAAAATTAGACCTGCCAGGATTCGGACGAAACAAAATTCCTTCCCAAGATGAAAGAAGCACTAGGCCAGAAGAGAAGTATGAAACCCAGGGTATACATGGTGCCCAGATATATGGAATACAGGGTCCTGGGGAGTATCAACTGGATGAGCTATGTGCCTGCTGGCCAGGATGGTCTAGGTACCAAGTGGTTTGGGTACCAAGATGCCTGCATGTGCTAGTATAGGGGGGCAGCAGCTTGGGATCCAGTTGCAAGCTCTTTCAGTGAGTGAGGATTTCAAGGACGACATCTCTCAGGGGACCCAGGTTCTCTATGGAAATCAGCTAAAGTGTGATGGGAGCTTGAAGCTAACAGAGAAACCTTTCAGCTCTAATAGCCGTGATCACCAATTCCTTTCAGTGCAGATGCTTTCCTGCTCCACTTTATCGATGGTAGGCAATCTTGGGATAGACATGATATCTTTTATTAGACCAACTTTAGTACAGCTTTTATTAGATGAACTAAAGTACAGCTCCCCATCCCTCACCAGATGTTACATGTATCATATAATTAACAGTAACATGCCAGACAGACAACCAATTTATTATGCCATAAAATGTCAAACTAGCCACAAAGACACTGCATTGAACAGGGGGGAAAAGCTGGATTGCTGTTATCTGAAAGTGGGAGCCAGGTTGGAAGCTTTTTTAAGCAATCAGACCACAGATAACTTACGCTCAAGACTTCTAAAAGAGTTGGCAGAGTGAGCTTTGGGTTTCCTGATATCCAGGTTTAATAACTTCAGTTGGTCTAATAAAAGATATCACATCTACCCAAAGAACCTTGTCCGCCTGTGTCCTTAGACCAACGCGGCAACAACCAACAACCCCATATTATCAATGGCAGGAACCTAAGAGCAAAATAGACATACCCAACCTTGCACTAGCTGTCTGAGTACAAGCAACAGGTCAAGGGACCAAGCTCCCCCTCCCACCCAGATATGTACCATGAATATTCTTGATACAGTAAAACACCAGGGAGATTTACATTCCCACAGCAAAAAGGGAAGATGGTGAATTAGAGGCAACAAGGCAGAGGACGATCTCAAAACAAGGGGTGCGGTGCGGCTGAAAAAAGAGACTGCATAATATGACACTGATTTTCAAAGCAATCTATTGTTAACAAGCATCAATGAAACAGTTCTCACAACTGCACCGGTTTAGCACTAGTGGCAATAGGGACAGGGACAGTTCATCGCCTCTTTCTTCAGTTTAACATGCCATCTTTCAAGTGTTTTTTCCTTGCTTTTGAAGAGAGAAGTAAGCGTACCACTCGCTACTGCACCTGAATGGCAGGGAAGAACAATGAGGCTCTGTTGTGGCATTTGCCCCTATTATTCAGGCTTGCCAGGGGTTTGACTTTTCACTGCAGCCAAGAGAAGGAAGAAAAGAAATATCACTCGATATCGTCGCACAAAAGAGCAAATGCTGTAGACTAGAAAAGGATTGAAAATAAAGAAGTAAGTTGCAAGCTCTCGATGACCACAGAGCCTTGAAGTGCTAATAACGTGTGACAACAAACTGCAACTTCTTCAATGTTTTATGAAAATATACAAGACTGAATTCACCTGGGTGTAACGCCCTGGGTTTGAAAGAGTAAGTGAGCAGAAGGTTGAATATGGCCTGCTCTTGTTGCAAAGAAGGGCAACGGCATCCTGGGCTGCATGGGTAGGAGCGTTGCCAGCAGATGGAGGGCAGTGATCCTTCCCCTCTATTCAGCACTAGGGAGGCCACATCTGGAGTCCGGTGTCCAGCTGTGGGCCCCCACTACAGAAAGGATGTGGACACATTGAAGAGAGTCCAGCGGAGGGCAATGAAAATGATTGGGGGACATGACTGGTGAGGAAAGGCTGAGGGAACTGGGCTGATTTAGTCTGCAGAAGGGAAGACCGAGGGGGATTGAATAGCAGCCTTCACCTCCCTGCAGGAGGGCTGCAAAAAGGATGGAGCTGGGCTGGTCTCAGTGGGGGCAGCAGTGTTTCCTCTAAGCTGTGCGGTGTGCGTGGCCATGCAGGCGCACCTGGCAGCACAGCATGAGCACGCCGCACTGCTTAGAGGAAACACCTGGGTGACAGATGACAGAACAAGGAGCAATGGGCTCAAGTTGCAGCAAGGGAAGTTGAGGTTGGATACTAGGAAAAACTCTCACGAGGAGGGTGGTGAAGCAATGGAAGAGGTCACCCAGAGAGGTGGTGGCATCTCCATCCTTGGAGGTTTTTAATACCTGGCTCTACAAAGCCTTGGCTGGGATGATGTAGTTGGGACTGGTCCTGCTCGGAGCAGGGGGTTGGACTAGATGCGACCTCCTGAGGTCCCTTCCAGCCCTCCTTGTCTGTGATTCATCAGTAAGATTTATGTTAAATGGGTGGGATAGAGGATGACCCAAAGGAATGAACACCCTCCATCAAGGTGCCTTAATCAACAGTATCAAAGGATAAAGTTTCTAACTAATGCCGAAGTGGAGTTCCTGCCCCAGCTGTAAAGCCATACTTTGATGCTGTTCTCATCTTCTCCCTAGTTCCTCTGTCTGCATAAAGGGAGAGAAGAGCAACTGCACACAGCCCTGGAGGGAAGTCAGCGACTTCAGCACTTTTAGGGACACAAGGACTCAAAATCCGGTCTCCTGTTTTCACAGGCAACTACATCACAATCCCATTCACAAATTTATCAAGCTCCATTTTACAAATGATGAGATTGTCTGGCCCCGTTACCCCAATTCAAACTGGTCCAGAACTTCATACATCTAATAGAAAGTTGGGTTTGTTTGTTTTTTTAATTTCCAACTTAAACTCATGGCTAATTCATATCCATTTGTCCTTACGGCAACACTGGCCTTTATCTTAAAACAATTCTTTCCCCTCCCGGGTATTTGTCCCATGCTATATTTACAGAGCAATCAGGTATCCTTTTCCTAGGTTAAACATGCCAAGATCTTTTGGTCTCCTCATGCAAAAAGGACTGTTCCCCCACCCCTAACCACCCTGAAGCTTTTTTCTCCACCTGTTTCTGTTTGAATTAATTTTCCCCTGAAATATGGGTAATTACAATGGTACGCAGTATTCCAATGAGAGGAAAGAAGGCTTATTATCACTGATGGCTCTCACCTATACTAGCTGATTCAATAAAAAGCTAATATCTCACCACATAAATATTGCTTCTTTCAAAGAAAGCTGCAAAAATTTCAGGGAAAGGGTTACCGTATCCAACGCAGGAGGTCACGCACAGCCATGATAGACCCAGCTCCAGAATATTTTAGTGTCAAAGATAAATGCATGAAATTAAACAGGTATTTGAGATTTTATCACTAAGAATTCAGATGAATTTGCATATTCATATTAGCTTAACTGATGTTTAAATGAACGAATGGAAATTAAGATAAGCAGCAGTAAAACAAAAATCAGCTTTAAAGGATTCTCGTATTTAAATGAAAGGAACATTTCCTTGCCTACACAAGGTAATAACGCTACGTACTTGCTGGAACAGAAACATTTAACATAGAATTTATTTTTTCCCTGCTTATGTGGCTGATTCAGGAATTTCTTTCGACTTCACACACACAAGTTTTTTTCAATGTGTTTGCCAAATTCTTTACATCTGATGCTTCAACGGTAAGTGATGGAATAAAGAGTCTGTTCAATGTTTTAAAGAACATTTTTTTAACGTTATTCATTAGATTGTTTCATAATTCTCATAGACAATAGGACTGGAAGGGACCTCGCGAGATCATCGGGTCCAGCCCCCAAATATGCTGCAGACAGTTACCATCCAAAGGCTGGTTAGTGGCCCATGTAACTTAACTGGGATGACCTAGTTGGGGATGGTCTAGTTGGGGCTGGTCCTGCTTGGAGCAGGGGTTGGACTAGACGTGACCATCTGAGGTCCCTCCCAACCCTCGTTGTCTGTGATTCTAACTCTGCATCTCAAATCTAATCCAACTAGACAGATGTGCACATCATAAAAACCATCAATTAAACTGACACTCATGGACATCTTCGTCACTAGTGTCAATGGATACACCCAAGGCTGGATAGCAAAACTACCCCCTCACTTCTAGTAATACTTTCCTAGATCAGTATTGAGAAACTAGTAAAAACAATGTACAAGGCCTTGGTCAGATGCACCCAGCGACTATGAACAAATGGAAAAGTTCACTCCCCTGGGCACTTCACTCTTAAGAATGGTAAATATGATGATGGGG